ACGACCTGGAAAGAGCATTTCTATATGTACAATTGGATTGGGTCTTTTTTGTCTCCGGGGACACATTTCCTGATATGATAACTGTGGCTGGCAAGAATAGAGTAGAGGCTCACGAGCTCCAGGCTTTTCATTGTTTCGGATTACCTTTGTCAAGTAGATTGACTGGTAAATTTTCGTTTGTGAACTTAGCCCATCGTACATCTGGGGAGGATCCTTATCCATCCAGTGATCTTGAAAGCACTTACCATATCGGGCATGTTTCCCACAGGTGGCCCTGGCCCGAGCCCAAAAATGAGCATCTCTGTCGATCATAGTTCATACACTGGCACCGCGGTATGGAACTTGTCCTGAAACCATCTTGAACAAAGTCGATCGACGGACCAAACACTTTGCTTGTGTTTCAGATGTTCCTCCTGCAGTTGAGGAGAAGTCATGTTTGCATTTTCCCTGGTAGGTAAGGTTGGTCTTAATCGATCAACGCGGTAACACGGTGGTTGACACAATCTGTTGACTAGGCCATAGCTACTGCCCCGTCGCAGAAATTGCGATGGCTACCTAGCAAGCATCCCTACAACCGCTTTCGAGGAGCGACTTACGGTTGAGATAGGATCTTCGCGACGGCGGTGCAGTTTCCAGCGCACACCGATTGGAGGACACACGTGAGGATTTAGGATCAGTTAGCTTGCTAACTAGGTATCTACATCTTCGCCTTGAGCTCCTCGAACAGAGCCTTGAGCTTGTCCATGTCCGTCTCCTGAGTGGGCCAATGGATGCCGAGTCCCTCGGTCTCGTTGGGCTTGGGGATCTGCGGGTTATATAATGGTTATTATTGGGGATCGTCACCCCTTCCGCTGAAGCAGAGCGAAGAAAGAGGCTTACCATGTGGAAGTGAACGTGGTCCACGACCTGGTGCGCTATGCGACCATTGTTCTGGAGGATGTTGAAGTCGGTGGCACCGACCGCCTGCGCGATCTTCTTCGCTACGGGCTGGATAGTTGTACGACAAGTTAGAAGTCTGAGCAAACAAAGTTGTGCATGGGACTGCGAGGGTTCCGGGGGCTGCGTGTGGGTGAGGGGAATGTGGGTTGCTGTGCGTCTCCCAAGGTCCCCGGAGGAATGCAGCCCTTTTAAAGAAGAGGCAGATCTCTTCGCTTTTGGAATCCCTTGTGCAGTTTTCTCCCCTGTGCAGTTTTCTCCCCGGTCTCCCGGTTGCGAGTCTTCCACTTACCAGGAGTTCTGAAAGGTGGTCGTCGGGGATGTCGGTGAGCTTCGCACCGTGGTACTTGGGGATGACGAGCTGGTTGTATGGATTTCACTGGTTAGTGGGTGTTTATTTTCTTCTTTACTTGTGATTGTGATTGGGGATATGAGCTCGAGGAGAGATGGGGATTGTTAGGAGGGATAGTGGCATGGGGCGCAGATGGCTTATGCTTATGTTGCTGGGTTCGTGTGAACGAGACGAGGTGTCGTGCGGGGTTGATGCTTTTATCATGTGGTGACGAGATGTTTGGCACCGAAGATACTCACCGCGTGGCCCTTGCTGAGGGGCTGGATGTCAAGGAAGGCGAAGACCTTGTCGCTCTCGAAGAGCTTGAACGAAGGGATATCACCTATTTGTTCATACCGTCCGTTAGCTAGCTGTTTGAATACAGGTCGTGTCGGAGGAGTAATCAATGTGATTTGGTCTTGCGTATCGCGATGCAGAGGTGGAAGGTACCCTTGATGATCTTGCAGAAGATACAGGCCGCAGACATTTTGCTGTATATGCGCGCGGAGTGAGAGGCTCGGAATGCGTGGAGTTGTTTGGGAACCAGTGTCGTGATGACAGAATGCGGGGTCAAGCAAGGTCAACTTAGTCCAAAGGCGGAACGCGAGCTGGAGGGGGGGGGGGTCGTCGAAAACGAGGAATTGGAGGGGGAAAAAAAGAAAGAGGGGAAAGGCGCCGACCGCGGATCGAACGCTGGTAGGTGCTGACAAAAGGTAACATATAGGATACAATAAGAGTCAACCTCCGAGGAGTGGGACAAACTAGCTCAGAACCCATTTCTTGCCTTTTACCAGAGATGGCCGTGGTTTGCCCACAAAACTCCTCTTCTCAATCTTTGGACTCTTCCTTCGACACAGCTGTCGATTTTATTGTTTTTCTTTTTCTCGGTCAATGGACTTTTCATGGGGTGTTTAACAGGATTCTGACTTTTCCTGAATTTTCTAACCCCTAGATGAGGTCGTTCTGGGAGCTGCGGTGCGTGTCGTTTGGCTTTGAGGTCGGTGGGCGTAACGCCATCTCTATGCGCTGCAGCCGCACTGCGGGTACGGTGCCTCGCTACGCACAGCGCAGCAGTCTTTCTTTCTGTCTATAGAATTGGTTGAGATAACTCATTTTCCTTCACAGCTACTAGATCTTACTTATAAACATTGATTTTACTCCACGTCATCGACTCCACGTCATCGAATCAGAAGTATGCCACTCAAGCCACGCAGAGACTTGCCATGTACTACATTTTATGATGGTGTCGTCTATCCTACGCGTCTTTTGGTTCCTCTACGATCACCCTGGCCTACATGAACTGGGTCGATCAAGTCCGCAAACAGTACGGGGCATGATTGAGTGCATTGAGTATGTTCCAGTCCTTCAATGTCCATTCGGCAGCACTTGCCTTAGTTGGTTTAAGTCCTTGGAGAGCACTGGGTCCTTTGCGCGAAACTCACTCACTTGCACTAACTAGCCACCCAAAAGGGTTGTCCTATACGATAGGCGTGCCAGAAGGACCCCTAATCGCTCTCCACTAATGTTACATAGTCTACATGTGGTCTTTGCCGAGAAGCATCAGCAGACATATGATTCGGCGGGAAGACCGAGACTGCCACCCCCGCAGCATGGCAGCTCGCTATCTTATCGGGATCCTCTCTTATCTAGACAGTCACTGGATATTGAGGGGACCCAAGTGCTAAGTACATAAACCCTGAAACTGTCGCCTGAGACGCGCAGCATGATCTGCTTCCAGATCTACACACCAAGTCCTGCTAGGATAGCGAGATTTGCGCTCAGACGGCCTACGCTGTTTCCATTGAGGATCATCCGGACAAACCAACGTCGACACTTTTCTGTCTCGTGGACGCAAGCCATGTTGTCTACGGAGCTGACTGAGGCTCAAGTCTCAGCTCTTAGAGCCAATAAAGATCGCCTTGCCAAGGACCTTCACCACAGCTGTCAATGGGGCTCAGGCATTCGATGGGGAGAGTAAGTCCCGGACCATCCCTCTGCGAAGTACACAACTCGTCTTAGCGGTCATGCTCCGTATGGGATGAAAACAGCCTTCTTCGATCCCATCAAACAAGAGCCGTCGGTCAAGCTTGGAATCGCTAAGCTAATCAAATGGAATAGTGGCCCCACGGATACAGGAATGCAACGCCTGGCATTGTCGCAAGAGGACAAGCAAGTGAGGGATTGGTTCATTGAAACGACAAAAGCCCTCAAATGTCAAGTCACCATTGACGAGATGGGTAATATCTTTGCAGTTCGTCCTGGACGCAGGACAGATGTGCCCCCTGTCTTTATCGGCAGCCATCTGGATACGCAACCGACGGGCGGCCGTTACGATGGAATTTTGGGTGTCCTCTCCGGCATCGAAGCGTTAAAGTCCATGGACGACATGGGTCTCGAGACAGAGGGTGGTGTAGGCGTGGTCAACTGGACGAAGTATGGCAACCGACCTTCCTTCGTTTGAAAGGCTTGCGCTGATGAGTACAATAGTGAAGAAGGCGCGCGGTTCCCTATCAGCATGATCTCATCTGGAGTATGGGCTGAATGCATCCCCCTGTCGCAAGCCCACGAGCTAAAGGAAGTCCCAACGGTTGCATCTCTACCCACGGCGTCGTCAGCCCCAGAGACCATGAAATCGGCACTTGAGAAGATCGATTATCTTGGAAGTGTCCCATGTTCATACAAGCAGACTCCAATGGCTGCTCACTTCGAGCTTCATATCGAACAAGGACCCCATCTCGAGACTGCAGGCCAGCACGTAGGTGTCGTCACAGCCGTCCAAGCATACCGCTGGTTCCGCCTCACCATTGTCGGCAGAGATACCCATACGGGTACTACCGCTTTTGAGCATCGTGCAGATGCTTTGTATGCTTTCGCCCAGATGATGGTGCGTGCACGCGAGGTTGCTTCCTCTCATGGGTGCCTGGCCAGCGTTGGCATCGTGGAGGCCAAGCCCGGCAGCGTGAACACCGTCCCTGGCGTCGTCAGCTTTACTTTGGATATCCGCGGCCCAGAGGATGAGTTGGTCAATGTTGTGGAAACGCAATTGAGGAAGGACTTCGATGCCATCGCAGCGGAAGAAGGTAAGCCCATTGGGAAGCCTTGTCGCGTGGAATGGACTCTGGACTTCGATTCACCGGTGGTGAAGTTCCACCCGGACTGCATCGACTGCGTTCAGCAATCTGCAGAGGCAGTCGTTGCGGATTCTAATTCAACAGACCCCAAGTCTCTGACGAGAACGATCATGAGTGGTGCCGGCCACGACAGTGTCTTTACCTCGAAGAGGGTCCCGACTAGCATGATCTTCGTGCCATGCAAAGACGGGTTGAGCCATCATCCGGAAGAATTCTGCTCGGCAGATGATTGTGCAACCGGCGCATCAGTCATCTTACAAGCCGTTATCCGCTACGACCGTAAGAGATTCTCCAGCTAGTTCAAGAGACACATCATAGCGTTGAGCCCAAACAAAAGGCTATGACCCATCGTCTTGACAATCTTAACAATTATTTTACGAAAGAAGCAAAGCAAAGATGAAGTCATGAATCATGCCACTAATCCTAACTATTTCATGGTATCGAGACAGAAAAGCCAGGCATAATCCCAATTTTTGTTTCGGTTTGAGGAAGTGCATAGTGTAGCAATTTCTGACTGGACGTCTACTCAAGCCACACTAGCAGCATCCCGTGTAACCCTAGGAAGACCTGCAGGCGACATTCCTCTAGGAAGAGGGAGCACCACGGCCACGGCCGAAGCCACCACGGAAGCTGGGGGCGAACTCGCCGGGGGCACCACCCTCCTTGTTCTCACCCTGCTCGCGGCGGCGGTAGCCACCCTCACGGGGAGCACGGGGACGGCGCTCGCGCTCCTCACCACCCATCATGCCACGGGGGGGAGCGTGGGAACGCTGCTGCTTGATGTGGGTAGCGGGGACAACCTCGGCGGGGAGGTGGAGCCACTCGCGGAGGTAGTCAAGACCCTGGAAACGGAGGAAGCATTAGATTCTGGTCCATCCTGTCTTCGAGACAACGCGATAACATACCTCGGGGGTGAGGGTGTAGTAGTAGTACTGCCACGAGAAGCGGGTCTTGACGTAACCGCGGGAGTCAAGGGACTGGAGGGCCTTGATCACGTAGAGGTTCTTGGTGTCAATGTCGCCATGCTTGGGAAGGTTGAAGTCCTTCTTGGCCACGAGCACACCCTCTGCAGATAATATTCGTTAGTAAACCCATCCTCATTCTGTCGAGTCTTTAATCAACCCTCCACACAGCCACATCAAGACGGCAACAATATAAGGTAGAATTGTGAATCGAGAGACACCAAGTCTATCCAAATATCCATCCCATCCAAGGACTGGGGAGGACGCGACGAAGGGCGAAGAGAATGAATCACATACCGCGGAAGAGGTACTCGTGGATCTTCTTGCGGTCTTCCTTGGGGATAAGCCTGCGAAGGGTTAGTCAGGGTTCATATCATCATTGGCATAGCGCATCTTCAACAAAAAAGGGCTATACTCACATTGTTGCGAGTTCCTGGCGCTCTTCGGGGAATCGCTCTAACAACGCGCGAAGAGGGTGGTTTAAGAGTAGTTGATGTTGAGTGGAGCGGGCTGGCCGGCGAGTGGAAAAAGTGCGGTGATTCCCAATCTGGAAGCGCTTGTAGGGTTGTCGCCCTAATCGATTTCCGCTAGCTTGATAAGGTTGTGTCACGTGTAACTGTTACATCACGTGGCTTCAGGCCTTAGGCCCCTGCGGTGGACAGGCAATTAGTCATTGATCCGCTCTTATCGGGGGAAACTCTCCGCATTGCGTTATTACTTCTAGACCTCCGCCCAGCAAGCGCCTCTCGCCCCGTCAGATCGAACCTTGACTCCACCTTGAACAACTGTCGCAAGGGTTGAGTTTCTACTCATCTCTCTTCTCATCGCGGAACCCATATCAGCCTTCTTCCATATCACGCGCAGCTCAACACACGAACAACATGGCGCCGCAAAACATCAACGTGCTCCTTTCATCCTTCCCGGGACTTTCACTTCCCTCCACGGTCACTTTCTCGCTGCCCTCATCCTCGAGTCTCGCCGATCTCACCGATAAAATCTCATCCTACCTCCCGCCTTCGATCCCACTCCACTCCTTGATCCTGACGACCACCAACAACAAGCAACTCCTCCCCTCCGCCGAACCGCTCCTGCCTTATCTCGCCAGCAGCACGAATGGCGACGCCGCCGCCACCACCGCACCGTCCCTCCTTCTCCCCCTCCGGCTCAGCGTGCCCCTCTGCGGAGGCAAGGGTGGGTTCGGATCCCAGCTGCGCGCCGCCGGCGGGCGCATGTCGAGCAAGCGCAAGCGCAACCAAGGCGACGACAATGGCTCCAGCCGCAACCTTGACGGCCGGCGGCTCCGCACCGTCAACGAGGCCAAGGCGCTGGCCGAGTACCTGGCGCTGAAGCCGGAGATGGACAAAAAGGAAAAGGAGGAGCGCCGCCGCCGGTGGCAGGCCGTCGTGGAGGCGGCGGAGAAGCGGCAGGAGGAGCTGAAGAACGGCGGCGGGAAGCAGAAGATCGACGGCCAGTGGATGGAGGATAAGGAGGAGATGAACGAGAAGGCGCGCGAGGCGGTCTTGATGGCCATGAAGGACGGCATGTGGACGGACAATCTGCGCGATACGATCCTCGGGGGCTCGAGCACCAGCGCCAGCGCCAGTGAGGGCAGTGATCGGGATACTTCGTCTACTGGGGATGAGAGTGAGGGTGAGGATAATGGTGATGCGAAGGAGGAGGAGATGGTCGATGTGCCTGGTCCGTCAAATGCGACTCGCAGCAGTGCACCTCGGCGTTATATCGGGTTCGATGAGGATGATGAGTTCATGAGTGACTCTGAGGAGGAGGAGGAGGAGGAGGAGGAGGTTGAAGATGTCAAGGGAAAGGGGAAAGCGAAGGCTTGAAGAGGTATATCGCTTGATGGTCAATGGTTTTGCGTGGCGCATGGTCTGGGCTGGGCATTCACTGTTACTTTACTCTGGGTTTCTATTATGATTTTTATGCATGATTGCTTTCGTGTAACTACTCAATAGCCAAGCGAATGTTGTTTATACCAATTGAAGATAATGGATATGAGGTCTACAAGAAAACTGGAGAGATTGCCACTACCAGTAGCAAGTTAACACAAGCCAAAGACTCTGGGTTCGCCACGGCGACTTTTTTACGGCCCGCTAAGCGGACCATCGATGCTATCAACTATCAGTCAACAACTATCAATCGAAGTTTCTTGCTGCAACGCCTTTCGCCGCATTTCCTGCTTGTACAAATTTCAAAATGCCGCCATATCTCGGGCGGATTGTCCCAAGAACGACTAGGATATTCCGACTTCCGTCGCAACTCCAGTCCCGCGCCAAACCACTCCCATTGTACCTTTTGACGCGGCCGGAAGTCCTTGCCCGCCGCACGCCCGCGAGTCAATATCTCAGCAAAGAGCTACGCAATTACTCCACGACCGATTTCCCACCCGATATCTCCTCGTCGATCTCTCCGGATTCGCTGCCTGTCTGTTGCCCAGGATGCGGGGCGTATACGCAGACCGTTGAGCCCGCCGAGCCTGGGTACTACAGCAAAACCAGAAAACACGTACGAAAGCTTGGGCAGGAGGCGCAACAGCTTGTCGCAGCCCCGGACGCTGAAGGGGAGAAGGCGGCAGAAAGAATCCAGCAGTATCTCGCGAAAGAAGCTGCAGATTGGGGCGAGTCGTCGGCCAGACGTGAGTGATATTCCAGTTGCACCCCCCTCTCCTCCTGTGCATTGTGTCTGTGCTGACACACGGATGATCCCCCATTTAGCCAAGAGATATCTTGAGAAAGATGCTGCTGCTGCTGGCGAATATCTCGCAAAGACACAAGCGCCCATACAGGTTTGTGACCGATGCCACGACCTCCTTCACCACAATAGGGCCGTCCCGGCCATCTCACCCTCGATCGACTCCATCCGGGCATACCTGGACGAGTCGCCGCACAAGCATAACCATGTTTACCATCTGGTGGACGCAGCCGACTTCCCCATGTCTCTCATTCCAAATATCTACAAAGCACTGAACATCATGGAACCACGCTCGCGGAACCGTCGCTCGGCCACCCACCAGTATTCGGGCTCCAAGAGGCTCCCAACCCTTCACATTGTCATCACGAGGTCCGATCTCTTAGCCCCTACGTGGGATCTGGTCAACTCGAAGATGGAGTACATCCGCAAGATGCTCCGTATCCAACTCAATCTGTCGTCCGAAGAGTTCCGTCTGGGCCAGGTGCACATGATCAGTGCGCAGCGAGGCTGGTGGACCAAGCAGGTCAAGGAGGAGATCCAGAACCACGTGGGTGGCGTCTGGGTAGTTGGCAAGGCCAATGTCGGCAAAAGCAGTTTCATCGAGGCGTGTTTTCCCAAAGACTCGAGAAATCTGGAGAAGATCGCGGACCTCGTGGAACAACGGGAGATCGAGTCGAAGCGGCAGGGCCAGCAGCAGCCGGAGGAGCACCTAAGCTTTCTCGACTCGGACAGCCTCCTGCCCCCGGCACCCCGTGAGGACATGTTCCCCGTGCTCCCCGTGGTCTCTACCCTCGCCGGCACGACCGTCTCCCCGATCCGCATCCCCTTCGGCCGCGGCCGGGGCGAGATGATCGACCTCCCCGGCCTCGAACGCGGCGACCTCACCAACTACGTGCGGCCCGAACACCAACGCAACCTCATGATGACGAAACGCGTCAAGCCCGAGCGCCTGACCGTAAAGCCGGGCCAATCGCTCCTCCTCTGCGGTGGCCTCATCCGCATCACCGCCGTGCGACCCGACGACATCATCCTGGCGGCCTGCTTCGTGCCCTTCGAGACCCACGTCACCCGCACCGACAAGGCCATCGAGATGCAACGCGGCGACCGCCCCTACCCCGGCGACCCCATCCTCCGCGACGACACCGTGGGCACCTTCGCCTCGGCCGGCCGCATCGACCTCCAGTGGGACGTCACCCACTCCCACCTCCCCACCTCCATCGCCAAGGCCGTCGCGGACCACGGCAAACCCATCCCCGAGCTCCCCTACCGGGTCATGGCCGCCGACGTCCTGATCGAGGGCTGCGGCTGGGTCGAGCTCACCGTGCAGACCCGCGCCAGGTCGCACGCCCTCACCGTCGATGAGTACGACGAGGACATGGACGACGACTACCTGCTCGGCGCGTCCAAGGATGTGGCGGCCTTCTCCCGCACGCCCCAGGTCGAGGTCTTCACGCCCCACGGTCGTCATATCGGATCCCGGGCCCCCCTGGAGTGCTACAAGTACATCGCCGAGAAACAGGCGGCGGTGAAACGGCAGGCGCGAGGTCGCGGCCGCCAGAGCATTAGCCATCAGAAACGGGTGAAGGCCAGCCGTCGTGCTTCCTCCTCTTAGGTTCCCTGTTTCTTTTCTTTTTTCTTTCCCGTCGGGCCCTCCGAGGGTAGGTGTAGGCATGTAAATGTATACTAGCTTGTTCTACCTTGTCATGTTCCGCATAGCGATTGGTGTTGTTCATTTTGTCATTGTCGTATATAAAGAAGTGGTGGTGCGAATATTGGAAATCTCTTCTCGATGGCTTTCCACTTGTTCGATTTCTAGTTTCTAGTTTAGCATAAATCAGAGCATCCAGATATACTAATTCCATGTTTGCAAATGTTCAGTTCAGGTTTGTTCTTTTTTTTTTGTTCTAGTGTTGTGGAAGTCATCAGGTTGTGCCGCCTTAGTCTGCTCCGAACTGTGGTTCAAAAATATATATCTCGACACACCGAGAACTCTCAACCGGACTACTCACATATCTAGGCAAGACAAGCTACATAGTAAATCAGGGAAGATTTAGACGTAACATCATCAACTTTAGAATTCTTCTTCTTTTCCATATGCCATGTTTGCTTCTGTTCCAAAGATATCAATCATTTCCCCCAAGCGGTCTGTCTAACTGGTCTAAAGGCAGGATGGGACGGACCCCCTTCCCTTCCCGCCCCTTCCTCCATGCAAGCCACACTAGCCCCAATCTAAAGGGTACTTCAAGCACATTTACTCAATGTTAGCGAAGTGGAACGAGGGCTGACCGGGGACGGCGTTCTCAGCGAAGAGGCCCTCCCGCTTCTCCCCAGTGCCCAGCACCTCTCCGGTCTTGCCGCCCTCGTCGACGGCGATGATCTCGAGGGCCTTGGCGCCGGTGACGCGGGTGATGGCGCCCCGCATCTCCTGGAGGACGGCGAACTCGTCGAAGGGCAGCTTGCGCTCGAAGACGGTGTCGGGGGCCTCCCGGTTGACGACGAGGCGGCGCTTGAGGGCCTGGACGAAGGGCATGGCCTTCTTCATCTCGCCGAGCTTGCCGACCTGGGCGTTGAGCGCCTTGTCGTTGATGGCCAGGCCGTCGAAGGCCTCGCGCACCAGGTCGATGTACTTCTCCTGCCACTGCGGGTACTTCTTGGCCGCGTAGATGGAGAGCTTCTTGGGCTTGCGCGGGTCGAACGTCACCTGCTTGCCCTTGGAGAGCTTCTTGACGAAGGCCGCCTCGGCCGAGGTGATGTTCGACGAGGTCGCGCGCGTGTAGGCCAGCGCGGCGGAGAGCTCCGGCGAGACCTCGGGGACGCTGGGGAATTGCGCCTTGTGGATGGTTTCGGGCTTGGTGGTGATGTTAGATTTTAAATGGGAAGGATAGGGGGATATGGGTTGTGTTGGCAGACGAACCTTCTTCAGGATCTCCAGCCAGACGTATTCGGCCCAGTGAGGAGCAATGATGGCGATCATCAGAGCCTGAAGCTCGATGTACCGCGCCACCATGTCGCGGTGCAGACCGACTCCGGAGGTCGAGGTGGCCTCACGGTAGTAGTCACGGGCACTGACGAAGTCGTACAGACCGGACTTCAAGGCGAGCTTGAAGTTGGTGCTGGTTGGTGTTAGTTAGCTACTGGCGGGTAATCATTCAGGCAGTTTAGGGGGTGCTTACTCCTGGTAGTGCTTCTTGGTCTCACGGACCAGGCTGTTCAGCTCGTTGTCGAAGAGCTTGTCCCAGAAGGAATCGGCAGGGCCGGTGCGCAGACTCTCATCCTTGATGGTCTCCTCCATCCAGTCCTTCAGGGTGTGAAGACGGAGAATGTTGCTGTTGGCAACGGTCTCCTCGAAGTTGGCATCCTCGATACCATCACCGGCATCGGCGAAGGCGATGCGAGTAGCATCGGCACCGAACTTCTCGACGGCATCCTTCAAGGTCAAGAAGTTACCCGTACTCTTACTCATCTTCTCACCGTTCAGGAGCAAGTGACCGTTGGCACGGACACCCTTGGGCCAGTACTCGGGAGGGAAGAGGGCAACGTGGATGTACAGGAAGAAGGTCAAGTGGTTGGGAATGAGATCCTTTCCGGAGACACGGACATCCAAGGGGTACCAGTACTCGAACTCTCTGCGCAGCTGCAGCAGGGCCTCCTTGTTGATCCCGCTCTTGGAGATGAGCTCGTCGCTGAGCTCACGGCGGCAGAAGACGTAATCCCAGACCTCGTCGATCATCTGCTCCGCCTTGATGTTGAGTGAGCCGAGAGTCTTACCATAGCGGTCACCGTGCAGGAGGTGAGCGATGGTGTAGTAGGCCATGTAGACCGTAGAGTCACTCAAACTCTCAACCAGGAACTGTTGGTCCCATGGCAGCTTCGAACCCAGACCGTACGTTCTGGCGCAAGCCCAGCGGTTGAGCCAGGAGAGGTTCTTCTCGAAACCGTTCTTGGTCTCGTTAGAGTAGGTGTTCAAGGTGTTGACCACGTGGTCCAGGGTGTCCTGCTGCCACTTGGCGTCGTTCTCACCGTAGTTCAGGAACCATTGGCCGAGATAGGCGACAACACAGTCATCTCCACTGCGGCTGACAACCTTGCCCATGGGGTCGGCGAAGGGGAAAGCATCTCCGCTGTCGTAGAGAGCCTTGCGGATCTTGTCCTTCACAGCGCTGACGGGCTGACCCTTGAACTCACCAACAAGCATGGTACCCTTGTAGAAGGCCTCACCGTAGGCGAGCTCCTTAGCCTGTGCCAGCTGGTTGACATCTTTAGGAGAGTTGATCTTAAGCTGCTTAACCAGAGCAGGAGCAGTGAGGTTTCCGTAGGTTGGGGTCTCAATAAGAGGGAAGATTTCGAGCTCAGCCCACTCCTTCTTGATGCCGTAGTACTCGGGCTTCTTAGCAAGATCGAGCAGAGTGGCGTAGTCATCAGGACTGTCAGAGGGGACGGAGGTGACGACACCGGTACCCTTGGTAGCCGAGACACCTTCCATGGGGAGGATACGGACACCTTCGGTGTGGAAAGAGAGGGGAGCGTTGACGAGGGTTCCGACGAAAGCCGATCCGGGGGCCTCGACGACAAGAGGCAGCTGGTCCTGAGACTTGGGGAAGTTCTCGCTGGTGAAGAAAGTTCCCTGGAAGGCCATGTTCCAGGCAGCTCGCTTGGTGGCAACAAAGTACTCCTTCTCCTTCACCTTGTAAAGACCATAGGTGATCTTAGGGCCGAGGAAGCAGCAGGTCTGGCCATACATGGTCTCAGGGCGGAGAGTAGCAGGGACAAAGTAGACGCTGGCATCCTCTTCAATCTTACCCTTGACCAACTCAGCAATTTGAGGGGCCCATTCCTTGACCTTCAGCTTCATGGCGGTGTATTCCTGAGGTCCGATTCCCTCACCCTCGGTTCGGTCGTGGTCCATGCAAGGCTGTCCATCCTTGGGGGAGTAGATGGTGTAACGACTACCGTACTGGATCTTTCCGAGCTCGTGGAGGCGGTTCATCTGCCAGCGGACAAAGGCGTCATAGTAGGGGTTGGCGTCGGTGGTGACGAACTGTCTGCGCCAGTCAATTCCGGCACCAATGCTGTCGAGATCGCGGATAGCGAGAGGGGGGAAGTGCTGAAGCCAGTAAGCGGCATCGGCAAACTTGTGGATCTCCTCAAGAGGGATACCGATAGCCAACATGATCTGGAACTGGTACTTCATCTTGACAGTCTTCGCGGCGGCCTTGCTCTTCTTGCCGGAGAACTTCTCGGCCTGCTCGGCCTTGACCTCCTGGGTCGGGGCGGCGACGGCAGCCTGCTCCTGCTCACTCTCCTCCTTGTAGTTCTCAAAGCTCTGGCCGAACTTCTGGACCTCATCACGGAGCTTGTCGGCGCAAGCCTTGATGGGCATACCGGTGCAGTGGAAACCCAGAGGGAAGAGAGCACGCTTGCCCTCCATACGGGCCACACCAGTCATGAACTCAACCTTACTGGCAGTGAAACTGTGACCAGCGTGCAGAGTACCGTTCATGTAGGGATAAGCCATGGTTCCGAAGAACTTGGGGTGCTTCTCGCGGAGCTCCGCCGCGGAGATGCTGCCGTAAGGCACCTCAGCGTCGGAGGGGGCATCGACCTCGAAGACCTTGTTCTCCTTCCATTGCTGTTGGTATTTCTTCTCGATAGCAATAAGGGTGTCTCTCTTCTCGGTCTGTGAGTGAGATCGAGGTTAGCACGGATTGCATGACAAAGAGGGGCTTCTTGCGGTAGGAAGAGGGGCAAGTGAGTCGCACGTTTTCCAGCTTCAGAGTGTTTTTAGTGCTGTTGCCCTGATCGAGCGCAGCTGCGGAAGCAGCAGCGGCTGCCATTGCTCCAGATAGAAGGTCTTCTTTTCGTAGAAATGAAGATAAAGAAGCCCTGGGGCAAGGATGGAAAGCGGAGTCTTATAGATCGTCTCGAGTCGCCGCGGGGTTCGAAAAGAATTCCTCCGTATGTGGGAAAAGGCGGTCCGTGAGTCACCGCCTGCCTCTTTCTACTCCGAACTCGCTGCAAACCAATTGACGGTATAAGATGGAACTGAGATTCGATAGGAAGGTGGCTTTGTCTGGCTTTAAATAGAATGAGTATGAGCTAGAGGTCCTATCTGGGATCTATTGCTTATGGGTGCAGTCTGTGACTCACAGGGATAATATATTGGTGAAGGAGTGTATTGTTTGTACACCCCAGATTAACTACTGGCTGAACCGGGGAGGAATGGACGGATCTATGCTTAGTGTTCAGGATGGTAGATTACATCGAACCTCACTGAGGTACAAATACAGGCCAACCCTGACTCACCTAGTCTCGACCCGCTATTTATATGACCAATTCTATCTAACACGCGATATTATATTGCGTGCTAGGTCGAACACATGCATTGGTAGTCCTGGAGCCCGGCCGTATCGCATTGCATCACGTGATTCGATATCGGCTGCTTTTCTTTCCGCCCAAAAATCAACGCGGAAGCTTCCAACCAGCAGCGAAAGCACCTTGAACCACCGCGGACAAATTGCAACCAGTCGCTGCCGGATCTGCGCTGGAATCTAGTTCTGTATCACCACAGCATAGTATACAGAGAGCTTGCGAGCCACTCCCGTCACAATGGTCAACGTTTTCAAGCGGATGCGGAAGCTGAAAACTGTAAGTCAGCCATCATCCATCCCCCTTGTCGATACAACCCCGGAAGACTGACTTGGACTTCGCTGCACCGCTACAGAAGGTAAGACCTTCTTGATACAGATTTCGACATACCCGGTGGCCCCTGTCATCTCCTCGAGCCTCCATACGGCGATCACCAACCGTGACCTCCAAGAGACCCAACACCGACGGAGAGCAACCCACCATCAACTCCACGAAACCTCTCGAGACTGACATCTGCAAAACTACCCAGCTTCTCAACGTCCGCGTTGGCACCGGAGCCGCCGTCTTCCCCGCGGCGCCCTCGGCGACCCAAGAATTCCCCGCGATCACCCGCCTGCACCTGACCTACGCCCGCAAGATCTACGGCGGCCACCAAGGCGCCCGGCATTTCTGGCGCAACTGCCTCCCGCGGCTCAAGTACCACAACCCGGGCATCCCGATGACCGTCCGCCAGACGGAGGACCAGGACGGGCCCGCCGCCCTGAGCGTCTACTTCGCCCAGAAGACCAGCACGACCGCCGCCTCGCTCGCCGCCGAGGACCTCAAGGATGCCCACGCCCCGGCGCCCGCCGACAACGAGCAGGTCGCCGTCCTCGACGTCCGCAACCTCCCCTACACCGAGATCTGGAACAAAGTCAAGAACCTGACCAACGCCACGGAGATCCCCGCGACGACCCAGGAGGCGGCCGAACTGCGCAAGCTGGACGAGATGGCCGCCAAGTCCAAGACGGATCGCACTCGTATCGCGGCCAAGCGGCAGGTGAAGAAGGACCAGGAGCGCATGCTGAAGGAGGCTAGAGAACAGGTCGAGAGGTTGAAGCAGCTCTAAAAAAAAACAGAAGTTGTTGTTGACTGTTTTTTTTTTTGCCTCTCTTTCTTTTGTTTTCTCTTTCCTTTTGCGCTTTTCTCTCCACCGTCCCTTTCGTCTTTTCCGTGTGTGTGGGTGGTGTCATAACTTTCCAGCTGCTTTCAAGATGCGGTTACAGTTTTGGTTTGTGGGGTTCACAACTTGGTCATGGTCACTTGTAGCATACTAGCATTTTCCCTGTTTCATATTTCCTATACTCTTGTTCGATTATGTGGTTCGTGTCGAGAATATTACATCCCTGCTAAGGGAGTTTGTACTTCTACGGTTCTTGTGGTGTTATTTGGCTTTCTATATGACTTCCTGCATTTTCCATTTGTAGCGAAAGTCTGGAAGTCCTGTTGGCATATTGAATTAGAAACAATTTGCCGCGGTCATGAGTCATGTAAAATGGATAATAGCCTCCAACCCGAACATGTATCTACCCTCATTCATATGATGCATTCGTAACATGCCCAGTTGGATCCATAATGCGAAAATATACAGTCAGTAAGAAAGCAGGTGGACTTCCCTGGAAAGTACAAATTGCTACCCGTCTTGAAGGACTCACCACCATGGATGGAGAAAAAGAGCAGCCAAGCCCGGGCAAGGATGGGACTCAGGAAGCCGAACTGGCAGCCCTCCTTGGCCCTTCACAACACAAGAATGATTCTTTAAGGATATCTCCAAACGAACACAAAAAAAAGGAGCAGTGCTGAGCATATTTTCACATTAAGAGTGGTCCGGAGTGTAGCTAGTTTCACCCAGCATCGCCTGTCCTGCTGCTACTGTTGGGGTCGGAGTCTGACTATGGGCGGCGCCTGGCTGATTCAACGTCAATGGGGGCGCTCTCGCTGCTGCTGCAGCCTGGAGTCTTTGATCCAAGGCCTTGAGAGCCAGCGCGCGTCGTCGCTCGGCCTCCTCCCGCTTGGCCGTGGCTCGTCCCCCGCGCTGGTTGGAAAGAAGGCTGGGAAGACCGGCTTCGCCGCGGGCCAGGACCTGCTGATTGCCGGATGCGATGTCCTCCTCGGAAAAGGGGGTGCAGACTCTCGCCGCAACCAAGAGCGCATAGACCTGGTCGGAGAAGAAAGCGATGGGCGGCTGGAGGAGGTCGGGGAATAGGCATGCGAATGCGAAGGTCTCGCTCGCGTCACCCCTGATGCCCAGTCCGTCGGTCGAGGTGCCGGTCAGGTCGGGCTGGCGCTTGAAGAATCGCAGGTAGGTCCAGCTCGTCACGAGACCAAGCCAGGAAAGGAGCGCGGCGGCCCGGGTGCCGACGACTACACCGCTGATCGTGTTCAGGAGGAGGAAGAGGGCGGGGAAGTGCTTCACCCGCATCTTCACCAAGCCCTGGAAGATGGTGACGGTGTGTTCGGGGACGAGCTGCTTAAAGGCGACGAGGAAGGACGCCTGAATCGAGATGCCGCCGCAGATCTGCGTGACACTGGACGGCGGGAAGTCAGCAGGGAAAGCGCACGATGTGGTGCATTCGCGAGGGGTGAAAGGGGCGTACCCGCTGCTGGCGCTGCCGCTCATCGCAGTACCTAAGAGATAGATAGGTACGATGACCACATTAGGGATCACTGCGATCGTGAGGATGAACTTGGCAAACTCTCGTGAACCCCACGCCCGCTCCAGGTACTTCCCGCCGTAAAAGAGGGTGGCGGCGTTCAGAAGAACAGTGAAGATGTTCCGCTCCACAAACGTAGCAGTCACGAGCGTCCACGGGTAATAGAGGAGATATGACGGAACAAGCGTAAGGTAGGGTACGATGGGGGTGACGGTCGGTGTGCCCCCCGTGGTGTCAATTTGGCGCCATCGGGCAATGTTGTACAGCAAGGAGAGGGTAAGGAGACTGACGAGGCAGATTCGGGTGGCCGGAGGGATGTTCACTCGGAGAGCCATGATGAAAGAGGCACTGAGAATAAGAGCTCTTGCGGTTGCTAGACCGCAGGCTGATTGACGGAGCCCAGCTGGGAGATGTGAGGTTGTGAGGAGGGACAGCGAAAGTGGTTGAAGGAAAGATAGGAATTCAGGCCGAATCAACTCAGCTACTATTATTAAGGTGTACGGAGAGAACAAACACCTCCCGAAGAACAGTCGGGAGTCCCGAGACGAGTCCTTTTTGGGATAAGCTGCAAGGATTAGTACTCCGTACCTACTACTGTAGTAGGATCGCATAACATATCTGATTGGTCACCTTGCAGGGCCTTACTAGAACGGGGTCTCATCCTTAAATGCCCTGGAAGAGCCTGGCATCACCGGTGCTTGGACCTTTTGGACTACGGAGTATGTACACAGTACGTAGCTAATACCTAGCCTTATCACAGATTGTGGAGTAAATACTAGAAATAGGGGGGGAAAAGGTTTCCAGCGTGGCCCGAGTTATTCTTTAAGATTTCTTTCGTATAATAGCGAAGATTGAATACATCATGGTGACAATGGAGTCTGTCTTTGTTCGGGCCATCCGACTTAGCATGACCCTGATGACAATCGGGCATGTGCTCCGAATTCTCCCCTGCAGTATTCCTACTGTAGCAGTCTTCTGGTATGGTTCGTTGACAGAAGACGGGGAGCATAGTTGATATCCATGCAAAAGCTAGACTCTAGACAGGAGGTAACACAGAGCGACATTTACATTTATTTGCACCGGCGGGGAGCGGGAGGGATTTAGCCCACAATGCATGCATGCACCAAAGATGATGTACGACGAGCGGATCGACCGGCCAGCCCAGCAAAAGGATGGACCGCACCAAGATCCAGATCGACTATTGACGACAACCCCTGTGGGTGAGTACGATCTGACATATACTAACTGTCACTGAGAGGCTCTAGGTATCGAAGTATTGGAGTAGACATTGTCTACGAGCTGAAGACAGATCGATGGCAATCAAATCCCCCCGTGACGAATTTGAGGGGTAATTCTTCCAGCCCAGCAGCCAGCCTAGCCCTTAACCATGTGTTCAGGAAATGATGCTCCATGGAAATGCAGTCGACCTGATCAGAATAAGGTAACCAACCAGAAAATAAAAAAAGAGTTGGCCCCGTTTGCACTAGTCCCAACCCGGCCCAGCGGCCAGGTCGATCCGCTGGCCGTCAATTTGATGGTAATTTGATGGTACGGGTTTAGTCAACTGCACGCTAACCATGGCCTAGACGCCACAACGAGTCAAGCGCCCCCCCCCATCATCCCCCGAAATTGTCCCAAGTCAACACCGTCCGTCCGTCTGTCTTCTGTCTGGCAGTCTGTCTGTGTCGAAATTGTTCACTGTCACAGATTCAATCATTTTCTGGCTGTTATTGCTGAAGTTGAGAAACCTAGACTTGAGAAGCACTGAACGAACAGACCGACAGACTGACCAGACTGTTAGACTGTCTGCCTGTCTGACAGAAGACATAACTGGAAAAAACACATCTGAAAAAGAGTGTTTGGAGGGTCGTCCATCCGAGTGTCCGGTCTGAACCTCTCTCTCTCTCTTTCCCTCTCTCTTTACCCACATACCGTACCTGGTCTTGCTGCTGCTGCTGCTCCTGCTACTACTAGACTACTGCCCCGAAACTAAGGGTAGTTCCTCATCCGTCCGTCTGGCCTCCCTCTAACTTAACCTCTCCATCAGTCAACTCAACTCAAATCTCCCTTTAGAGATCGCCCGCTGCCATCCCATCTCATTCCCCCAATTATTTTCGTATCTCTTCTCTATTTCCTACAGTTCTCCACGGACCCTCTCTCCTTTGGTTCTCTCTTTCTCTCTCTTTTGCCCCCCCTCCCCCTCCCCCCCTCCTCGCCCCCCCCCAATCCGCCCCTCTCTTCTTTCTTCCCAAACACTTGGTGTTGCTTCTCCGGTCTCTGCAGTTCGCTAGCGGGTCTACCATCGTCAAGCCACACGTTGGTGTCGATTTCCTCCCGTCCCGATATTATTCGTTCTTCACATTTCCCTTTCAACCTCCATTTCGTACTGCTGTCAGAGAACCTTGAAACTTCTCTTTCGTCCTAACAATCTCGTCAGTGGGAGCTTGTAGAATGTTCCCTAGTCATTTGCACGCTTTGTGACCATCTTACTGCCTTTCTCATCTGACATTTGTGGCCTGCGTCCGGGCCCTGCATCTTTAACCTCCCCCTTCGCATACTGGTCGTCTCCCTTGTCACAGCCTTGGCTGCGTCTTTACCCGTCTCGTTCTCCCCTCTTCTCCAGCAGAGCTCCCAGCTTCGAGAATTCTTAGCACGAAAGAATTTGCTCCACAGTGCTTAATCAGTCGACTCCCGGGAACTCTCACATCTTCTGAAGCTTCATTTTCCCATCTCGCGCCGTTGCTCATCTGTCTCGTCGGAGAAGCTTTTCACTTCTGGCATGCTAGCGGACCCTACATCTTACTAGCTGTCATACATGTAACAATGGCACACCCTGATCTCACATCACATCATGTCAATTACCTAATATGGAGGTATGTATCAATTTCCATTTGAGCCAACCTCGTTCCTGTTTCGTCTCAGCGCAATCACTGGCCGTGGCCCTGGTGCATCTTCCGCTGACTCCATGATAGGTACCTCCAAGAATCAGGTAAATTCATGTTTTCTGGTGGTTGACAAAACAATCAAGCATTTGTTAGTTCCGCTGACGCTCGTTTATAGGACATGGCGAAGCTGCAATCACATTGCAGCGCGCGTGGAATCATGACCCGCAGAGTTTGCCATTTGCCCCATACATCAAAACCCATGCTCTTGTCTCGTTAGTACAAAAAGGCCTACAGTATTACGAACTGGAGCATTCTATTGATCGGGTATGAACACAATTCTTTCCATCTTATCCTCAAGTATCTATCTTCACCAAACAACCCTTGGGAGCCATTTTGCGTGGATTTGAAAAACGAAGATTGCGAAGATGGCGCATAGTCTAATTTGCAACATAGGATGGAAATGCGACATCTTTTTCACCATCGACTTATTTTTTCGGACCAGCTCCTTTGGAGCCGGAGACGTCAAAGGTGCAAAATGGCCCGGATGAGGCAGCAGTTGGCACAGACCAGGCGCCTGTCTCGCCCGCAAGCAAAGTTGCGCGCGAGAGCGGCGGCGGCGACGGCGTGACCAATGGTCATTTGACGGCCGATGTTGCCGCCCCCCAGCCCGTCCCAAATGCTAAGAAAGCTCGCAAAAGTGACCGCCCAGAAACTAACGGTGATGAGATGCCGATGGAAGTAGATTCCAATGGGGTCACACACTCAGAGGTCAAAGCCGCAGTGGCAGCCGAGGAATCGCCATCAACAGCCGAGATGGCGGTGGATGGGGATGGCGACGTGAGCATGGGCATCCGACCGGAATCGCAGGACCACCAGGAACCACCCGCACCACCACCGCCAACCTTTACCCTGACAACCGGCCACAGCGTTGGCGTACAGATCACCCCCGCCAAGGCGGCCGACCTGGCACCCGACACCGCCCTCCTGGAGGTGGCTGGTGACGATCACGTGACGCGGTCACTGTGGCGTCCCAATGACCCCACCGTTGTCGTCGCCGCTGGTGATACATTCTGTAGTCTATGGAGATTATCGTCAACCGCGCCTCCGGTGCAAGAAAAACTTGTCGAAAACAATGGCGACCGTACATGTGTTTCAGCAGTCTCCTGGGAGCCCAACGGACACAAGTTAGCTGTGGCGACATACAATGACATGAGAGGCTCGATCACGATGTATGACGTCTTTGGACACGCCGTGGACTTGCTCCCAGAGGTACCGCGGATGATTACCGGCTTGCATTGGGCGGGAAATGGCTCGAAATTGATTGTGGTTGCTTCCGATAGTCGAATTTCCGAGCTTGCTCTGTGGGACGATTCCCTACGTCCGGATGAATTCCCCTCCCCGCAGGTCATCGACGGGACTGTACTCGATCTCTGCTGGCTGGGATGCAGCCAAGTCTATGCTTGCGGCCCTGGCACTGTCTATCAGTGTGATGTGGATTCAAGCGTTCACATCTCAAAGACCTTCAACTCGAGCAATGCAGAGAGGCTTTGGGCTTTCATCCGGTGTGCTAATGTTGGCTCCTCACCCGTGGCCGTTGCCGCATCCTCCGCCAAAGCTGCCCTCTGGGTACCGACTCACGATATACACCTCGACAATGCTCACGAAGGCGAGATTACTGCAATTGAAATCAAACCAAATGGAGAACAGTCTGCGGTAACCCAAACTGTCTTCATGGCATCCTCTTCAACGGATGATACGGTGAAAGTCTGGCGAATCGATCTGGAATCAAAGCGTTTCGAATGTATTCATCAACTCTCCCTCGGTCCCTCATCTCCCGCTCTGGCTGCTAGCTTCTCACCAGATGGCTACGCGCTTGCGGCTGCCAGCAAGGACAGTCTGCTAATCTGGAACGCACAAAGAGGCGGGACCGCGATGGCTGCATGGAAAGCCCCAGGAGGTGAAGAGCGGAAAGCAGAAAATGAATCAGGGGCCCCCGTCAACGGACCTAATGGAATTACAGAACCGGTTCTAGATCGTTCTCTGGCGTGGGATACTGATGGCAAGAAACTTGCGTTTGGATTTGGTAACCAGGTATGGCAATTTCGACCCTGGCGAGTTCAACATGCTAATTAGGATAAAATAGTTGGCCATCGTCAATCTGCAGCGCTGAGTGTTCAAATCGATGACATTGCCACCATCATTCAGATTCTTGCGACACCATTTTGAGATTATGATCGATGACTATTCGATGCACATACTGTATGTCACTTCATTCAGCGGCGATGAAGGCAAACCGGGAATACAAGCCAGCCGCAACATCATGGCTTTGTGCCTCAAACAGATCTTATCTTTGCGCTCCTGGTTCTCGGCAGGCCCCGATGTACCATGTTATCGAAGCGCAATCCCGGAGAGCATCCATCACGTCTACAGAATACACCTTTACAGCTATACTACCATAATTATAGTTCTTGCTTCGATAAATACTTGGGTTAGATCACTCTTAAACGGCGCAGGTTGGACTCAGGCAGCAAAAGCGGCGGTTGGCGACTTCACGGGTTGATTACGGTGGCTCTTGTGACTTCATTTCGCTCTCTTCTTTTTTCGCACTGTACCAATTGTTTTTGGTCGACTGAATGGGCGCAAGTGCGCGCCGCCTCATCTCAGATCTAGTGGGGTAACGCCTCCTCAGAAACCTCTGGCATCCCGGCTCTGGGTAGCATCATCGGTGCTTGGTATCACCAATTACATGTCCATTTCCTTTAAAGCAGCGATTCCTAGTCTCATCAATCCAGACTTGTTTGGGAATGATCCCTCTGTCTTTGCATCTGCTCCCTTCTTTGTTCCCTTCGCAGGTCGCGATCCTTCTGTCGAATGTGAAAACCCTCCTCGACGTCCTTCCAACCCCGCATCCATGCCATGATGCCTTCAAAGAGTGCTTCTCCGTCGTCATTGAACTGTTCTTCCTTGGCACACTTCGTCCACCGCCGTTGACTCTTTCGCCGATACTTCATCGCGGGTCCCCCCGCCACAGCTAAGAGATGCTGCTTGTGCCAGTCGTCCACCCAAATTTCCAAGCCATTGATCGTTCCTTGCATGGCCTCCCGTTCCGCCGAGTCTTCGAGAATATCTTTCCGACTAGTATCGACATATCAGTATGCTAATTACAGCAAGGCAACGGACAAGAATCATGACGCGTCACTTACAGTTCGTGTATCTCGTCGTCTAGCTCTGCCAGTCTCAGTGTCAACACCTGACGCTCCTGGGTGAGCAAACTGTGAATTTCAAGCGACTCTCTGCGGCGCTGGCTGAACTCCGTCTTCATCGCTGTAACTTCGTTGAGAAGATCTCGCAGCTGAGAGTGCGATATCTCCTGGACATCACCGAGATGATTCGCTGTGGTCGACACTGGTGTGATGGAACTCGTATGTGGATTTCGAGGAGAGTCTACTGGGCTAGGCGGTCGAGAATGCGCACGGGGCCGACAACGGGCGACTTCTTGTGAGAATGCCGGACGCGGATCAAGCAGGGCCTCCATCTCCTGGAGGCAGTGGTGGATTGTGGTGGAGTCTGATATAGAAATCGAATTGCTTTCGGACAGAATTTGAGCTACTCGGATGAGACGTGCAGGCAATAGGGCTGCATCATTTACCTCGCTTTCGAGGAGATGCGAAGCGCCATCGTGGTCTGTGAGAGTCTTATCCCATGCTTGCTCGGCTACCGAGGATGGCGGCGAGGGCTGTGAGTAAGATGTCTGATGCTCCATGGGGGGCTATTCCGGGGGTTCAGAGACGTTGTTGTCTTCTCGTTTTCTATAATTGGATCCTATCGTAGTGCCACTTATTCCCTTATCTCGATAGTCTCTTAGAAATGTCAGGCCTATGAGCATAGAATTTGAGGGTCGGTGCAAGGGGGCGGATTACAAGTAGCGTGCTGCAAGCCCGTGCGCACAGGAGAAAAAGGGTGAAATGTACCCTTCTTTCTTTAGACTGACGTGCAGTGATACCCAAGAACAGGTTTGGGCGAAGGTATTAAAAACAACAGCTCACGTCCGGCCTCAGATGATGATGATAATGATGATGATGATGATGATGACGATGATGATGACTGCTGTAACAATGCTTCCAGCAAGAACAACAGCTAATCAGGTTCGCGGAGGATTCCCACAGCAACCGGGGAATAACTTGGGTTGGGCGACAGGATGGCAAAGGAGCTTGATAGGTAGAAACGAAAGAGTATATTATAATATCCTGAATTGAAACTAGGGAACGATCCCGAAGGTCCAAACTTCAGTAGACAGACACCCAAGCAAGGGAATCGCAGGAGGAACAATGGGATTGTTGACAGTCGGGCTGTCAATAACAGTAGTTAGTTCATTAGCTGGATGATAATGATGAATAAGAATCGGGATGAATGCCGCCGTCTATCAGGCCGGTAACGCTAGTCCCGGTTGGGAGAATGGCAAGCCAGTCAATTGAGGCATCCACTGGGCACTGATAACTACAGTCTGGATGGCCACTTCGGGAACATATCAATCTTCAATCATTGAACTTAGTACTCTGTACTGAATCACTTTACGGAGCTTTTGCTTTTCTCGTTCCTCGGCATCGCCTTAGCGGTGGCTTATTCTTCTTCTTCTTCCTCTCTCACTGTCATCCCATCTCACTGTCCCATTCTTTCCACTGTGAGAAGCCTCTTTTTATACTAATATCCATTGCCTCTGCTCGCCCGCCCGCCCCGCCTGCCAGCAAATCCTCCCCCTCCATCCTGGGCTCAGCTCCGGTTCACTTCCGGACTCGGGCTCTTTTTGATTGTCCCTCCCTGCCAATCTTCTCCCCTCTCCCCCATCCGTTACTTTTTCCCGCACACCACCAACTCCATACACAAAAGATGGCGCCGTCTGTAAGTGCTTTTCTAGTTCTTGCATTGTCTCTAAACATGTAACATGCATCGCGCTCGACGAGAGTTACAAACATCACTGGTACGAAAGTGGTTGCATGCTAATCCCTTCTGACTCACCCAGATCACGATTGTGCCGTCTCTCGAGACTGCAGGCGAGGTCATCGATTCCGTCCGAGATTCCAAGTTTGCTCCCAACCTTTTGCCGTTGGTTACTTCTATCTCAGCCGACCTCTTGACTCCTACCCTGGCATATCTGAAGATTGCAGAGAAGTGAGTCGTTTGCCGCCCGCGACCTTCGCCGCTAAGTAGGCGCGCTGACCGGTTTAGATCCAAATTGTCGTTCCTCTACGAAAGTGCTGCCACCACTGAAACCATCGGAAGATACAGTTTTGTTGGAGCTGGTATGCGGTACCCTTCCTAGCCCACTTTCCCCGGTTTTCGCGATCCAAAGCTCGTGACTAATTCGCCCGTCTCCTTTTTTTTTGTGCGTGCGCAGATCCCCGCAAAGTTATCAAGACTGGCGCTGGCCATGGGCCTGAGTGTGATCCGCTGCCGATTCTGGAGGAGGAGTTGTCCGGATATCGCGTCGCGACAGTACCCGGCTTGACTCTTCCCCCTCTGACCGGAGGTGCTATCGGCTACGTTGGTTACGACTGTGTGCGGTATTTCGAACCTAAGACGGCCCGCCCAATGAAGGATGTGCTGGGTATTCCCGAGTCGCTGTTCATGCTCTTCGACACTATCGTCGCTTTCGATCACTTCTTCCAGGTTGTCAAGGTCATCACATACATTCCCATTCCCAACAGCAAGGCGGAGCTCGAGGCGGAGTACAGCAAGGGTCAGGAGGCCCTTCAGCGCATTATCGCGACTCTCCTACGCCCCGACCACCCACTTCCACCTCAGGGTCCTATCCTACAGAACCAGGAGTACACGTCGAACATCGGACGCGAAGGCTACGAGCGTCATGTTACTCGCCTGAAGGAGCACATCTCCAAGGGTGACATCTTCCAGACCGTGCCCTCGCAGCGGTTGTCCCGCCCCACCTCCCTCCACCCCTTCAACCTCTTCCGACACCTGCGCACCGTCAACCCGTCACCATACCTTTTCTACATCGACTGCGAAGACTTCCAGCTGGTTGGTGCCAGTCCGGAGCTGCTGGTCAAGGAGGAGAAGGGCCGCATCATCACACACCCGATCGCGGGTACAGTAAAGCGCGGCCGGACGCCTGAAGAAGACGAGGCCTTGGCCACCGAGTTGCGCAGCAGTCTGAAGGACCGCGCGGAGCACGTTATGTTAGTGGATCTGGCACGCAACGACGTGAACCGAGTATGCGACCCGACGACGACACAGGTGGATCGGTTGATGGTGGTGGAGAGATTCTCGCACGTGCAGCATCTCGTGTCGCAGGTCTCGGGTATCTTGCGGCCGGAAAAGACGCGCTTCGACGCATTCCGATCGATTTTCCCTGCGGGAACGGTGTCGGGCGCACCCAAGGTGCGGGCGATGCAGCTAATCGCGGAGCTGGAGGGCGAGAAGCGCGGTGTGTATGCGGGTGCGGTGGGTTACTTCGGCTATAACATCGCCAGTGCGAATGGAACGGCAGAAGTGCCGGGTGCGATGGACACTTGCATTGCGCTGCGGACCATGATGGTCAAGGACGGGGTGGCTTACCTGCAGGCGGGAGGAGGCATTGTGTTCGACTCAGACCCGTACGATGAGTATGTGGAGACGCTGAACAAGCTGGGAGCGAACATTGCCTGCATCAAGGGCGCTGAGGCCAAGTACCTCAGTCTGGAGGAAGAGCAAAAATCCTAGAATAGCACTTCTTTGTCCTCTCCTTCTTCAGATTTCTAGTTTCGACTTCTTCTCTTTCATCTCTTCAGGCTTTAGATGACATGACTTTTCAAAGTGAGCAATGGACATGGAATATAGACCACTCTTCGATGACTGACCGCTAGAGGTTGTCGATAATCGAATTCAAACTTTGGAAAGAAATCCGGGGCTCCGGAGATGACATAAGGTTTGAGCCGACAAGGAGGAGCAGGAAACCGCATAAATTCTGCTGCCTGCAATTTTCACCATCTTTGCCGGGGGGGTGGGGGGGGGGGTGAGGGTTCGGACCCTTTTCTTTGTCACTCAGTGTTAATCAAAAAGATCGCATGGACGGGGTAAGGATCGGGGGTTCAGTCAGGATGAGGCCGAACGTGGTTTCAATCTGCAAGAAAGGCCGGCCCTGCCTGCAATGACGTCGACTGCGAGGCCGGCCAGGCGCTAAGCACAACACACGGGGATGATGGCCTGCACCGCCTCGGAAAGAGAGCAGACTCAAGTGTTTAGAGTTGGTTATGGGCGGAAGAGACCTGGAGAAGGACGAGTCGGATGCCTTGGAAAGGCTTTGAATCTCTAGCCTAGATTTTTTTTTTCCACTTTTCCGACTTGGAAGGAAGTCCGTCGAATGATTGTTGTATAGGTAGTGTGTTCAAGTGTGTATAGGGGAATGGTCAATTGACGTCAAGTGATGGTGGAAGTGGTAACTAACTTAACCCTATAATATTAAATCACATGGAATCACTTTATAGTTGATAGGGAGTAAAGACAGCATGAATGTCATGAATAGAGGAAACATAGTCCAGATGGAGAGCAGAGGAAGAGGAAGACGAAGAGAAAGGAATGACACCATCCCAAGTAGTTCCATCATCGCTCGGCTTCCTTCTCCTGATCATCTCATCCATCACTATCAAATTCGATAAAATCTTTCTCCTTTCTTCTTAGCTCTTCCGGTCTCCATATTATTTGACCGACAATTCTCCCTCCGGTAGACCTTGAATAACTTTTTTGTACCGTCCCAATTCCTTCTTCGTCCTTGTACACTGTCTGGGTGCCCCCTATCCGACTGGCCGCTGCCCGAGGGAAGTGAATGAACGCCCGAGAAGGCAGATTCGACAAACCTGACGCAACTACACACTTGGAAGAGAGTTCCTTTGCATCTAACACGAGCGCATTGCATCCGAGCTCAGTAAGAACGGAAATCCCTGCTATTCCAGAACGGCTTAGAGGGTGTGGTTGTGAAGTAAATTGGCTGGAAGCTATTGAACGGTCTTCCGGTGGCACCCAACCTTTTAGTCCGCCCGATCTCTCTCTCTCTCTCTCCAAACAACCAACTTCCTCTTCTCTTCTCTTCCTCCTTCTTTTCCTCCTCCACAACTCCTCCCTTTCCCTCACATCTCTTCTTCCTCTTCTTCCAACTCCATTAGCCGATTTCCGACCTTTCACTGCTATCTGCAGTCGCGATCCCCTGTTATTCGGATTATCCTGAATTGCACCCAGTCTTTCCCCGCCGGGTGCCAGAACGCTGAGTGACAATTCCGAACGCGGCTTACATACGCCTTTCCCACCGTTCTAAGCGCGATAAGGAGTCGGACTGGTTCTACTCCCCATCGCAGTTGCTCCATCCTCTCCAGCTTCATTGACGCCCACTTCTGCGCGATCGCCCTGTTCGCCTCGCTCACAACCTCTGTCCCTCCCTAATCATCCCTCTTACGCAAGCCAAAGGCGGAAAGGGCCGCCTAGTCTATCCTCACTTGTCCCATACACACACGCAATACCGCCACCATGTCCAAAGTCGTGCGCAGTGTGAAAAACGTCACCAAGGGTTATTCCTCCGTGCAGGTCAAGGTTCGAAATGGTACGTTGGACTGTTGCTGCCCGCTTATCTTGCCTCCGATCGGCTGTAACCTACGATACACCCTCCTTATCGTCATAACTTCCACTCAATTAAGGATCACCTCCATTCCGGCATTTTCTCCATTGGATGAGTTCATAGTCGATTGACGCTAATGTCTCATTTCTTCTTCCCTGTACAGCTACGAGTAATGATCCGTGGGGGCCTACTGGCACCGAGATGGCCGAAATCGCCGCCTTGACCTTCAGCAGGTAGGCTACCCCGCGTCCTCCGTGGCCTGCATGGTCCCGCGACTCACACTGACCCCCTCGTGCAACCATCTAGCCCCACCGATTTCTACGAGATCATGGACATGTTGGATAAGCGCTTAAACGACAAGGGCAAAAATTGGCGCCACGTTCTCAAGTCCTTGAAAGTCTTGGATTACTGCCTGCACGAAGGCTCCGAGTTGGTAGTAACGTGGGCTCGTAAGAATGTCTACATCATCAAGACTTTGCGCGAATTTCAGTACGTTGATGAGGACGGACGCGATGTCGGACAGAATGGTAGGTTTTAAACGGGGTGGCTGGAAAAATCTACGTCATATCTGGCTAACCGTTAGATTTACAGTCCGTGTGGCCGCCAAGGAACTCACCTCGCTCGTTCTGGACGAAGACCGATTGCGCAGCGAGCGCTCCGATCGCAAGCTCTGGAAGTCCCGGGTGAGCGGTCTGGATGACCACCAGGGGGGCTACGCTCCAGAGCCCCGTCGCGAGCGCCGCGAGCGTCGCCGCACCACGAATGACGACGACGACGCCGAATACCGCTTGGCAATCGAGGCGAGCAAGTATGAAGCCGAGGAGGAGCGCAAGCGCCGGGCTAGGGAAGCGGCCGCGGCCGACGACGATGAGGATTTGGCGAAGGCAATCAAGCTGAGCAAGGAAGAAGAGGAGCTGCGCAAGCGGGAGCTGGAGGAGAGCAACGCTCATTCGCTGTTCGATGATGCCCCTACGCAGGTCGCCCAGCCGCAACCTACCGGATACAACCAGGGTTATCAGCAGCAGAGCGCGGTCGACTGGTTCGGCAACCCGATCAACCCTCAGCAGCCACTGACAACTGGATATTTGAACAACCAATATGCCCAGCCTACTGGTTTCCAGAGTCAGATGACCGGTATGCCCAATGGATATGGCAACGGATTCCAGGCGCAGCCGACCTCGTTTGACCAGAACCCCTATGGCCAGGCGCAAAACAACTATTTGCAGCCGCAGGCCACTGTACAGCCACAACATACAGCATTCAATGTCAACAACCCCTGGGGAGGGGACGCATTTTCCCAGCAGCAACAGCAGCAACAACCGCAACAGCAGCAGTTCCAACAACCTCAGGATAACTTCTTGTCGGCGGGTACGAACAACCCATGGGCTAGCCCTCAGCCAGCGGATGCTCTGAAGCCGATGCCCACGGGATCGAACAATCCATTTGCACCACGTACTCAGCAGTTCCAGAGCCGCCCTGCTACTACGGGACCTCCATCACTGAATACTTTGGCGGAAGAGAGGGTCACGAACCAATTCACTTCGCCTAACCCGATCGCGAACTACCAGACACAGCCACAGTCACTTGCACCGCCCCAGCAGTCTTTCACGCCGCAGAAGACCGCACCCACTCAGATGCTGGATCCGCATCGCGCACAGTTGAACGCACTCTTGGCTTCTGGAGAGGGACAAGACACTTTCGGAAATGTGGGAGATCTGCGGATTCCCGCCCAGCACACGGCTCCGGGTACATTTGTCAACTCGGCCGGACAGGGATTGGACAAGCTCCGGGCCACGCGGACGGGCAACAATCCTTTCTTCAACCAGCCGCAGCAGCAGTTCGTTCCACAGCAGACGGGGTTTGCGCAGCCGGTCAACAACCCTTGGGGGGGACAGCAGACGTATCATCAGCAGCCTCAGCAGGGTGGCAGTTTGATCGATTTGTAGGACCGAGGGGTGGACTGGTGTATTGACGGGGAGTGGGGGGGCTGGAATTAATCCTGATTTTGATATCTAAAGCCCGTTGTCCCCCGGGCTTTCTTATGTTTGTTATTATTTGCCTTCACTTGTTTCTTATTACTTTCCCCCCTTTATAGTTGATATCAAGAGTCATCGAATTCGGATACCAGGTTTCTTGTTGTTATCTTCATTGGTATTGGTTGGTGCCATCTTTTACAGTCCACACATCTGTTTTCTCTGGTCAATCTCAGGCCGGGTTGAGCATTGGATAATCTCCCACATCGTTCGCTCGATCCCTTGCTCACATGACCACCGCGGTACGACCTGCTTGTCCTGCTTGTCAACTCACACGAACCACCTCGCTCGTGTAGATCCTCACTTGTATGAATCCCTCGCTCGCGGGAGTCATCACTGGTTATCACTTGCATAAACTGCTTTGCTTACAGGAATATCCCTGCTCATATAAATTGCCTCGCTTGTACGAAGCCCTACTAGCATACCGCAGCGGACCTCTAGCGCTCAGCACCTTGACATCAAGCTTCAAAGGGACCCCTTCTTTTTTTCACCGATAGAAGGCCTACTATCCTCAGTATCGAGGAATTAGTGCTTCTCATGAGTAATACCCCAACTATGTAGAGTTTCTTCACTGATACACTGCAGCTGATATTCGACCATATGGACTGATCAATTCTATGTAGAAAGATCTACATCTCGACCTCTTCGGTAGAGGGCTTGTTATAGTTACTTTCCGAACCAAACCTAGGGGTACCAACTTTATTAGACGACATGTAACTGACTCGGGTGTTCATTTTCAATTATCTTATTCTTATTTGGTTTGTTTGGGAAAATGTCATAACGGCGATGCGACCCTCTCTGTCCGTCATTTCCAGTTTTGTTCTTGGCTTGCCCAAATAGAACAAAGGCCGGTGGCTAACCTCGGATGAAGCAACGAAGGGTCTAAAGATATCATCCGAGCACAGTATCTGAACCATACTGTGCCTCTAAAGTGATCGTTAGCGATAGAATTGAAGGAGGCCGAAACCGAGACGGTACTAGTCTAGCAAGTTTTTTCAAATCAAGGGGGCCGTAAAAAAAAAGAGAGAAAAGAAAAGAAAAGGAGGCAAGATTCTATGTCGTGCCCTGACTTACTTGTCCTGGCAACCTTAGTTGCCTAGACTACCTGTTGAAGACTAGCTCAAAAGGTCATCTCTCCACCTGCAGGTGGCTACTAAGTTACTGAGTACTACTACTACTACTACTACTGAGACCTACGTGGTAAGATTATAAGGGCTGGCATCTATGTATGTACGGTATAGCTTCGAGCCTGAAGCCTGGACTACTCCTAAGGAAATTAAGTATTGCAAAAGCTGACCAGGTAATCAATACCATGTTTGTCGAAGTGAAGCATAAAAAACACATTAGGATTCCAGCAATGATTGCTGTGTGGTTGTATAGTACCATGGGACATGATCTTAGCCCTGAAGCCCTAGAAGCCCGAGAAGAGCCCCCCCCCCCCCACCCCCAAAAGTCTCATGAACGATATAAATGCCTTTAGAGATATACGAGTGCTTCCATTCTTGAAATCTTCCTTTGCACATATACTCCAGATCCAGCAGAGATCGGTGTGAGCGACTTTTTCTTCGCCCGGCAGCAGCAGTTAGTTGTATACCCATTTCTCCCGCAATGTTACTTCCGTCCCGGTTTCTTTGTCTACCCTTCTGTGTCATCCTCGTCGTTCTACTTCTATGGAGGCTGCCGATCAGAGGCTCTCCGGTGTTTTGTCGCAGTGACTCGCACTTGCCAGTCCAGTCTCTGGGGCATATCGACTGGTCACGGTTTGCCTACGTGCAATATGCTACCAACACCGCCTATCTTTGCAACTCGGTGATGATTTTCGAAAGACTCCACCGTTTGCAAAGCCAGCCAGATCGCGTTCTGATGTATCCTTCGCACCTCGATCCAGAGATGGACTCCATCGAAGGTGGATTACTGCGCAAGATGCACGCGCAGTACCGCGTGCGGCTGGTTCCGATTGACGTGCAGAGTCGAAGCAGTAGTGACGGTGAGGAATCCCATTGGGGAAGGAAGAGATTTAGACGGACTAACTCTCAATTAAGTCACATGGGCAGAGAGCTATACCAAGCTTCTTGCTTTCAACCAAACCCAGTACGCGCGGGTGTTGAGTCTAGACTCTGATGGGACAATCTTGCAGGTATGTCCCCCAATGCTGGCTGGCTGTCTGAACAAATACTGACAGTCCCCCCCCCTCAAACCCCCCTACCAGGCAATGGATGAATTGTTTCTTCTTCCCCCGGTCCCCGTGGCAATGCCACGCGCGTACTGGCTCGGCTTCGATCATCGCCTGCTAACCTCAGCGGTGATTTTGATTCAGCCCTCGGAATCCGAGTTCGGCTCCATCTGGGAGAGGATCCAAGTGGCCGGGAAATCTGACTACGACATGGAGATCCTGAATGATCTATACCAGGATAGTGCGATGGTCCTGCCGCACCGTCCTTACATCCTCTTGACCGGCGAGTTTCGTTCCCAAACTCACGCGAATTACCTCGGCGCCCCGCACACCAGATGGGACCCTGATCTGGTCTTGTCAGAGGCCAAATTCCTGCATTTCTCGGATTGGCCGGTCTCCAAGGCAAGTTTTGCACAAACTGGTCGATCCAACTGGTTTTCCTCCTGTTGTTTTGGGGTGTCCTTACTTACTGACATCGGTCGATCCACTCAAAAAGCCTTGGCGGAAGACCCCGAGGCCGGTCATGAACAAAGAACAACCGGCCTGTCACAACGATACCACCCAGACGGGGATGCAAGATTGTCGCTCGCGTGAGCTCTGGTTAGGCTTCTACCGGGATTTCGCCGAGCGTCGACAGGTACGAAGCTCTATTTTCGTCACTGGAGTATCTCTCCCCCGCTGGTACTTACAGTGCGTTTAGAGGATCTGTGGATTGCATGTAGACTGAACATTTGGCACGGAATTCGTCAGGACCGGACTGGCGATCACTGGTCAGCACATCTTAATCGTGTGTCTTTGGAAAAGAGAGGGGGTCGGCCATCATTTGACAATATAGACTTCCGTTGGCTATGTGCTGAAAGCTGTGGCTAATCTCTCTTCATGTAGCACCTGTGCCGCGCCTTAGTACATGTGTTGTATACCATCGTTCCTGCTCTTGGGAAAGCCTACGCTGCAGGCAAGGAAAGAGAAAAGTCCCCACGGCGCATCCTGGAGGGTGGGTTCAGGATCTGAGCCTCTCATCACACACGCTACCGGGGTTGCCTCAGCCCCTGAATGATCTGCCTTGAGATTCAATAATTCGACTCCCTGGTTTCAGTAGCCATCGAGACACTCGCCCGGCACATGCAAGACCTGCGTCATCGGGTAGGCACGAAAAGGCAAGATAGGCAGGTTCCCGACGAAAGACCAGAGCAATGGAATGGAAGAAACCGCTAAAGTTACCCCCTTGGGTGTGAAATGAACCTACACCGTGAACTATTTCTGAGCAACAGAAACAGGGTTGAGACCGCATGGCAAAAGAAAGCATCAGAGCCTTGGCCTCGTATCAGTCTCAGTCAAGTGTAGCCAGTCAGGGCTACCACCACTACAAGTTGACAGTCGCAGGTCAGACGGACGGGTGTCTAGGGGTCAAGTCACTCAACTGATGAAAGGTAGCCAGTCCTAGGGCAAGAATTGAGGATCAAAAAGAAATTAAGTCTCTTGTCCAATGATGGCTTCGATCTATTCTCTATTGCTTGACCCCTACAGGAGTTCTGGCTGTTCAATTCACACGCTGTCAAGAAAGGCATGCTTGGAGATCTCACCATGTGCCGTTCTATTCTTGCTTTCTATCTTTTCCTGTCTGCCGAGATATGGTGTAACTGCATTGCAGCCGCAGCAGCTAGCCCTTTCGCTGTATCCTGGTCGGACCAGACGTTTGGATTCGACGGTCCGTGGCGCGCGGTAACAGTGAAGGTGGGATCGCCAGGACAGGAGCTGTCATTATACCCCGGAGGCAGCTGGGGAGGCTCAGTCTTCCTGGAGTCGATTTGCTCCAATTCCACCCTCGCGCCCATCTGCCACACCAGCAAGGAAGGGGGCTTGTTTGACGGCAGCAGGTCTGCCACATTCGACAACGAATCAATACAATTTGGCGCAGCAGGCGCATTTCGTGTGGGGGAGGCCGATGCTGTGCGACAATACGGCACGGTCAGGTACGGATTCGACTACTACGATGTTGGTGGCAAAAGGATACCGAACGTATCAACTCGATGGATCACAGATGCGTATCGTGTTTATCCTGGAGGGAAAGCTTACCCCGTCGACCTGGGGATTCTCTCTCTAGGCGCAAGCGACATCAACCAAACTTTCACTCAGGATGACGACAAGCCCGCCATCCAGACCACTTTCGTCCCAAGCTACATGTTTGGCACCCTCAAAATGCTTCCATCTTACTCCTATGGTATGCACATTGGCTCGGTGCTCCCCAAGATACCTGGATCGCTGTATCTAGGGGGCTATGACCAGAACCGCGTTCTGGGCGAGGTCTCGGCTCAGTCGTTCTCCAGTGGTTCGTTCCCCATCGGCCTGGTTGACATCGAAGTTGGGGTCGTGAGAGGGGGCTCCCCCTGGAACTATTCATCCCAGCATGGACTTCTGGCCAAGGGGAACGCATCAATTGCCCCCGGCATCACTGTGACCATGAGCCCCGCGGACCCTTACCTCTACCTGCCCCAAAGCACATGTGCAGCGATCGCTGCCGAGCTGCCGGTCGTGTACCAACCCGACTACGGGCTTTACTTCTGGGACACCACGGACCGTCGATATAGCCAGATCATCACGTCACCAGCATACCTCGAGTTTGTATTCAGCAAGAACTCGCGCAACAACGCCAACTTGACCATCAAGGTCCCATTCTCGCTGCTGAATCTGACGCTCAAAGCTCCTCTCGTAGAGAAGCCGACATCCTACTTCCCTTGCATGGGCACAACCGGCACCTATGCGCTGGGCCGGGCCTTTGCACAAGCAGCATTCATTGGTGTCAACTGGGGACTTCCCGCGGGGAACTGGTTTCTAGCCCAGGCTCCCGGGCCCAATATCCCTGGCTCCGCAAGACCGACCGTCATCAGACCCGGTGATGCCACGATTTCCGCGAGCTTGAGCGAATGGGAGAATAGCTGGGAAGGACACTGGACGGAGCTACCTACTATGCGCGGAAGCTCTGGGTCACCGGACGACGGCGGCGGCGGTCTTTCCGACATTGCCAAGGCCGGCATTGGGCTGGGCGTGAGCCTGTCCCTCACCCTGACGGCGCTGGCGGCTGTGGTACTATTGCGGTACGGGAATCGATGCACTACACTACGTTCCCCTAAGCCCATCGACGACGACGAGGGGCTTGTTGCTGTCGGCTTGCATCCGCGGGATTCGCTGTCGGCAGGCGTCCCGCAGGCCCGACAGCTCGGGCACCCAAGGACTCTCGCAGAGTTCAGTGATCAGCCCTCTGGGCAGGTGTATGAGCTTCAGGGCCAGCGCCATGGTAGTGTATATGAGCTTTCTTGAGGACCGCTGCCCCCCTCACCCCAAGCAAAGCGCCCTTGGTCATCTCGGTCACTGCATGCAAACCCTTCATGCGTTCACTGTTTTTTTTTTTTCTTTTTACCGTTAGGAGGAGGGTAAGGGTACTCTTGTATTTCCGAGCGATCTCTTTCTGGGTGGTTCTGAGGGGGAAGGAAGGAAGGAGGGTTCATTACTCCGTGCTTCTCAATAGTATAGATATCATGCCCTTAATCTATTTAGCCGTGGGCTGTATAACGTTTAATCATAACGAAAACTGTAACTCAAGTGAACCTAATCGTCCATATCTTCTGTCCACAATGTTACTTCTCCACCGTCCTCTGTTCATAGGTGTCAACAGTCAATATGAACAGATGAATACTGAGGTGACATGGGCTTCCACCTATTCACAATATCAAACTTAGATCTTGGATCGGATTTGTGGGAGATATCATAGCCTAATCTGTAACCCTGTGCCGGGAACCCTGATGGACACCTATCCCTATCCCTATCGCTATCGCTATAGCTATCCATCCCCCCCTCTTTGCTGCGCACAGTTACAGTCACATACTACAGAAATCATCCTCCCTCCAGGTAAAGCTCGAAGAAACACACCAAAAAAAAAGCCTTTACCCGCGGCCGTCCATCTTAAAACAAATCCAACTCCCCGCCATTTTCTCCCAAACCCCACCCCCACAAAAACGCCTGTACTCAAGTTGTCCTGTCCGAAAGAGAGAAAAACAAAAGACTCCGGAGTGCCCAACCCTAGCCTGACCGCCCACATCGCATACCCAATACCCCGTACCCCAGAACCAGAACCAAGTGTACACAGTACAGCCATAAGCAGATCGAAAGATTGACTCCCCACAAGACATCCAAGCCAACAGAATACCACGACAATGAAACCAGGAATAGAGAAGAAGGAGTTTAGAAGAGAGGGGCCAAAAAAGGTCAACATGCCGATGATTCTTGTCTATCCGCCCCGTTCACCAAACTGTCTCGCCCACTCCTCGTACTCCTGTAACCCTTCCTTGCTGACACTGGGCCGGATCGAGAGCAAGCTCGCCTCGAAATCCTGGAACCGGATCGGTCGAATCTGATCCATCGGGGTGTGCAGCAATGCCTCTCCGAGGTTGCGGAGCGGGCCCATGGCGGCGTCTTTGGCCAAGGCGGTCATGTCGGAGCCGGAGAAGCCTGAATTTAGATAGATGTCTTAGTTACTTTAAACGAGAGTCAATGAGAAACGTAGGCAAAACTCACCCTCCGTAACCTGGACTAATACCTCGATGTCCTCGTCCGTCAACTCGTGGTTCTGATGACTGAGCAGTTTGCGGAGTTGCTGTTCGCGGACGTGTTGTTCGGGGAGTGGGATGTATTGTCGCCGGACGAAGCGGCGACGGGCCGCCTCGTCGATGTCCCAGGGCATGTTTGTGGCGGCGAGGACGAGCACGCGGCTGGCGTCGCCGATTTTCTTGTCCTTCTGTTCGCGGCCGGCGGCGGCGCGTTGGAGGTCGGACCATTGGATGAGGAACTCGGTCTTGGAGCGGCGGGAGGCTTCGTTCTCCGTGCCCGAGGAGCGCGCGGAGAGCAGGGAGTCGATCTCGTCGACAAAGATGATGGACGGGGCCAGGGCTTTGGCCAGGCCGAACAGCGCGCGCACGAGCTTCTCACTCTCGCCGTGCCACTTCGAGGTGAGCGTAGAGGCCGAGACGGAGAAGAAGGTCGATCGGGATTCGGTAGCCACCGCGCGGGCCAGCATCGTCTTGCCCGTGCCTGGCGGTCCGAAGAGGAGCATGCCGCGCGCCGGCTCGCGGAGACCCGAGAAGAGGTCGGGCCGGAGGAAAGGGTAAACCACGGCTTCTTTGAGGGCCTTCTTGGCTCCGTCCAGACCGGCAATATCGTCCCAGTGGACTTCGTCGCCGCGGACAACGATGTCGTTCAATATTTGGCGCGCAGCCGTCGCATCGACGCCTTTCGGGAGCTTATTCATCACACTCATGATGGCATCCTCTTCGTCTTCTTCCTCGAGGTCTTCCTCGTCAGGATCCGTAGACTTGGGCCCGGATGATTCAGGGTCGCTGGATGGAGGCGTTACCGTGCGATTCAGGCCTCCTGGCGACTGAGCAGCGACCTTCGCGCTGCTGGGTGAGAGGGTCAGGCGATCCAATCCAGGGACCAGCCTGCCATCGGTTGACGAGGTGGGTGTAATCCGTGGACGAGATGCCGGCTTGGTTCGCGGTGTGCCCGAACCTTCCGGCGGGTGTGGTGACACACCTGATGGGGAGGAAGTGGGATGGGGTGACCGTAGGGAGACCGGTTTCGGTTTGATAGAAGGCTTAGGCGGAGGCTGCGGCCGACCTACATTTCTTGATTGCGATTCAACCGAAGCGGGGAGCGACTGATTGGAGGACTGATGTCGAACTTCGCCGCCGACCGGTTTGCGGTGCGTCGATGTAGTAGGGGTGGTAGTGGAGGATGAGGTTGCCGTTCTCCGTGCAGAAGGCCGATGCGATACCGACTGGTCTGAGGCACGGGGTTTACGGCCATGTCGACGTTCGTCGGGGTCATCTGCCGGATGGGTTGCTCTCCTTGGAACACGCTCGTCGCCGGAGAGCGGACGGCGGGATTCCGACTCTTTTCGGATGCTCGAGTCATTGGAGGCCCGGGTCGAGGCCAATGCCGCATCACTGGCCGTTCTGTCTGGCGGCGTGAAGGATGGGTAGATGCTACCCCAGGCCAGCCCTGCGGCCTGGGAAGCTGCGGCCGGCCGCAGATCCCTCCGGCGGGAGCTGTCCTTCTTCTTGCTCTGTTTCTTGATCTCCGAACTGCGCAGGGTAAAAGGCATGGTCAGCTTCCGCCGTTCGGGGCTCGAGGTGCGCGAATCGGCCTTGCTCGGAGAATGCGACTGGGTGCGCAGGGCGGGGGTGCCCGGCATGGGGGGAGAAGTGGCGGCACTGGCTGACTCCCGTCGGATTGACTCCGAACTAACAGTGGTGGTGGGAGTCGGACGACCGGGGATGGTGGGAGGTTTGGAGAGGTCGGTGTATCCAACGGCGGGGACGGTCCCGTCGCCGATCCAACCGGGGGTGGCTCGCGGAGGCGATTTGCCCGATGTATCCTTTCGACTTTCGCGAAGGGCTTGCAGAAGATCGACGCGCTCGCGGCATTGCAGCTCCAACTGACGGATGGAGTCCTGCAACGCTCGTTCGGTTTCGTTCTTGGGGGTATACTTGGCGGGGACTCGATAAGCGTTGTGATAGTAGATCGTTTCCAGGGCGGAGCGCCAAGATCTTAAGGCTTCCTCCTCATTATTCTGACAGAATCGGAATAGTTCAGCTTGAAGTATGGGGGTAGAATGCTGGGAAAAAAGTACAGACCTGGCCCTCAAAGTAGACGGCAGTTGAGCACATCAAATAGCAATCATCGTAGGTCTTCTGCAATGAAGACGCCGGCTTGGGGCGCATCATTCATTCGAAGTCGAAGGAGGGGGGGGAGATGGAGCGGGAATCTTGCAGGACCCGCCCG